TGTTCATTGAAATACTTAATCGCTGAGGAAGACACCTTTCAAGACCTTTGTAAAATAATGTTTTCTAGGTAACAGGACTACCATATTGTTTTATATAGTACTTGTAAGTCGTAATGTGTTCTGAACATCTCCCATGCTCCCTAATTCCTGCTCGTAATCGGTTCTTCGCTTGTCTACGAGACCGGAGCAGCACTGTCGGTGTAGTGATAGCTTAGCGACATCGATGTATGTTGCCACTTGCATGGTGGCAGGATTGATACCGAAGACCCCTTGGTTTTGCAAATAATCTGAAAAAGTCCGCAGTTCCCAGTGTGGTTGCTCCGCACCTACGTCGTTCGTTGTTCTTCATAACTGCGAGCAACTCGCCACATTTGATTGCGAGTTTTCGGTAGATTACTACCGTCCCAGATCAGATATCTTATCAGCCGTATCGGGCTGAGGATGGCATGACTGGTAGAAAAAGAACGCCTTGGCTGCGCTACGCTCAGCGCCGCATCACATGCCCTATAATTTGCACGGATTATGACTGCACTAATTTGACAGTTCTTTTACAATCCCTCTTATTTATCATCTCAAAAAAAATTTTCAACGACAGTCAAGCACACGAGATATAAATAAAAACAACAACAATTGAATCAATAGAAAGTGGATGTCAGAAAAGCTTCAGTCCTTTCAAAGCATTCTTTACTTGCTCCTTTGGGTACGGTTTCAAAGCAATACATACCGATTGACCATCTTCGACCCAGACCTGAACGAAGAATGCTAGTAAACGGGCAACCATGTATCCTGGCAAGGGTACTATTATGTAAGAGTAAAGGCGAGTCTCGATGGGTAAGGCAGTGGAAGGATTTCCAAATATACAAAAATATTAGGGCCAGTGCAGATGTGAGACAAAAAAATAGGGGTGTCCTGGAGAGCATACATTAAATATCTTCACAATCGGTCAATACAGTGATAGCGGCAGGATCATGATGTGTGAAATGGCGGTGTCAGTGCGACCCAACCCCAAAACTCCTCATGTGGTAAGACCCCTTCCCCTATCTCCTACATACTAGTCGCCTTATGCCCAACTTCCTACCTTTTTCCCATTTTCAGAATTTTTGCGGTTGTTCCCCTGAAAATTGCCGTCCAGAGGGGGAGGTCGTTACCAACTGTTCTATTTCCCACGGCGACTTGTAATGAGATGCCGCGGATAGGAAAAATTTTCTAAAAAAGGGACAGAACATAAACCCCCAACCTTTCCTCTCGTCTCTCTTCCCCCTTTGCCAACGCTATTGTGCAGAGTCCGCTAGGCACGGGTAATCAGAAAAGAGGGTCGTCTGCTCTCGCTGCGCTGCCTATTGCTGCTATCTCGGAGGGCACACTTCACATGAGTGGAACACTGATTTTGAAAAGCATATCTTCACCTTATGGTCCAGCTCCTTTCCTTTCAATCGCTCATGAACTTTGATTAGCTCATCCTCCGAATCAACCTAAATGCAATATGTTCGTTAGCATTTAATGGGATCTATTCAGTGGCCACTTTAAGACATACCCCTAGTGTAATTTTATGCATTGAATCCAACTCCTTAGTGTATTCTTCAGTGTTGGGGTCATTTCTGAAACAAATTGAATGAGTCAGTCTTTTGTTTGCAAAATGTAATGACAATGGTTCCAAAGCAATCACTTTCATACCATAATTATGGACTGTTGTTTGAAGTTGGTCAACTGCTCACCGAGTAATCAAAGAAAATTCCCGCGATCAAGTGTTACGGGTGTAGGTGTTCACTCATGAACCAGTAGCCCCGTAGATAACTCCCCAATAGGGGAAAAAGCAAGAAAAACTTCGGGAACATTCTGAACAGATTCCCTAAGTAATGGACGCCTTGCACGAGTTTGTCGGACATCAACAAGCCCAATCAGCAGGATTCGACGTGCAACCATTCCTCCCTGGCGAAAGCACAGGAAATCACCCAACGATGCTCCAGGCAACGCTATGCATCAACCAATTTCGCTTAAGCCGTTGTCTCGCAGAGTAAAAGTGATTGTGATTACAATGGCAATGGTTGCAATAACCACGCGTGTCTAGCTTCTTTATCACATCGTGTCGAGTGACGGAAGTGGTATATTTTCTGCGAATGCGGAAAACGATGGAAAATGCTTAGAGGTATTTCGCGGACTACTTGATGGCGGGAACTGTCATTAAGACGTATGCAACTGCAGAGCTGCCACGGAGAAGGCAGAAGTCGCTACGTTTCCCAGTCGTGTTGGCTGTATCGAAGACAGATTGTACAATCACCTCAGCGGATGCTGGTTAGCCATTTGCAACATGAAAGGTTCCCAGCAGCAGTAGCACGCAAATTTCCCGCTCAAAAGTGCACGAGTTCGGAACCGGATTGAAGTGATAGCCGGATGCCGTCTACCGACCCCAAGCCGCCGCACAGCCAACACCACGCCTAACCATGGCCAAACGCGCTTCTTGTCTGCGCTCTCTACCTTCTGGTCATTCTTTACTTCAGAGTGTGTGCCTAGTGTAGGATCTAAGTATCGACGCAAGCGCTGCACTTCGAGAGAGGGCAGTCCGGTCTCCATTCTACGCCTGTACGATATACCAGCCGATAGTACTGCTCCACACTGGCTCTGTTTACATGTCTTGCGATGGCGATGCGATTGCTTCGTAACATGTCCAGAAACAAGGGCAAATTCTCCAGGGAGTATCACTTACCTGAACAGCCACATAGCAGCTGAGGCAGCATGAGCTGCCTGAGTGCACACAGCACCCATAGGCCAACCTAGTGAAGACATAAGATCTCGTCGCAGTATCAGGTACATTACGTAACATGATGTCGAAGCCATCTTTAGGGAGACCTACTGGAATGGCAGGTTCTGTAAAGGAACGAATAACGGTGCATTCTTAAAACCATCCTGTACGAAGGAAACAGAGGAAAGGCTGTGTAGTTACGAACATTTGCTGAGTTACGGTAAGGATATCAAGATAGAGTCGTGTTCGCTGCTGATTAAGGGGGCGTGGTCAAGCAGGACGATTGGTGCGGCAGCAAAATGTTTTTCATCAGTTGTTGAATGGAAACAAGCGACAAGACTGTATCATATCGTTCATTTCAACCGTTTTCTACCAGTTGTTGCCGTTAACACGCTTCAACAACTAATGTAGAAGGGGTTTGGCGATGTGCCAAACGCATCGCGCCTGTCCGTGCCCCATCATCCACGGCGAACAAGAGCAAGAAAAGGATACAACTCTACATCATCAACTGGACTTGGTGGGGGCACCATATGGTACCCAGCGAAAGTCGTACAGGCCACTTCATGAAGATCTGGAGATCATCCTGGCCAAAGTGGCTCTTATGAATTATTGGGTCGGCCCATAAGTAATGGCGTTTTTTCTCACTCGAAATATTGCGCTAATGGTAAGGATAAGAAGTTTTGCCATCGAGTTCTATATTGTTTTGCAGAGAATCCCTTGCCCTATCCGGTTGTCCTTTTAGTTTTCTTGAAGTTTCCCTTTCCGGTAATATTTAGTCGCCCGGAAATGAATGTCAGGTCTACGAAATTAGCATTTTCGACGGTCTCTTTTCTACTCCAATTGAAAAGCTGAAATCTCACAGGCCCAGTTGCTAAGAGGATGGCCAAGAGGCTGTGTCTCTTATAAATACTAACAACGGTTTGGGTAATTAGCAGATTTCGATTTCGACGCAGCAGAGAAGCATCGTACAGTCCTCATCATTACGGACTGTCGGGGCGGCACAGCCGCGCTGCAATGTGACGCGACAGCGGCTGCGGCTCGGTGACGGCGAATCAGCTGATTTCCATGGAATTCGGCTGCGAATTCCCACTTTTTCAACTCTTCAAGCTTCGAAAGTGGAAGGTGAGTTATTTTGAACAATTTTAAATTGTACTGACTCTGAATGAATCTGAAAGAATGCAAGCCATTTGAATAAATGCCTGAAATAAGGCAAAATACAAGGAAAAGAGCATAATCGACATAAAAATAAAGGAAATCAGAGCCAGTACAATTCAAAATTGTTCAGAATAACTCACCTTCCACTTTAGAAGCTTGAAGAGCTGAAAAGTGGGAATTTGCAGCCGAATTCCATCGAAATCAGCTGATTCACCGTCACCGAGCCGCAGCCGCTGTCGCGTCACAGTGCAGCGCGGCTGTGCCGCCCCGACAGTCCGTAATGATGAGGACTGTACCTAATGCTCTCTTGAGTCCGACTGAGAGCTTACGGAACTGCGAGTATTCATGGAGATCAGGGCACATCATTGGTTGGGGATTTTAGTGGAGTCTGTACGACCCCCCCCCCCTTTTTTTTGAGGGGTTGGTACGACCCCCCCCCCTCCGGCCCTCTGTCCCTCCTCATCGAATCGAGCCGTCGAGCTGAGAGAAGGGAAGTGCGGGGGGGGGGGGGGGGGGTAAATAGCACATGTGAAACAGGAAAGACTGAGAGACAGTACATAATACGACCCCCTTTCTACCAACTTTCAGATTTTCCCCAACTTCCTGCCACCTTTTCCAAAATTTCCCGAAAAGTTCCCTGCTTTTCCCCAAAAATTTTGCTGTCGAACGGGGGGGGGGAGAGGGCATATAGCACGACCCCCCTTTTACAACATCGGTGAATCGAGAAAAATCAACTATCGCAATAAATTCTTCTCAGCCTAAATACGACCCCCCCCCTCTCCTTCTCTCAGCTGGGGGATCCCTCAATAACGATGTGCCCTGACGGAGAGCCCATTCTGTAGAGGGTTTGCGAACTTCGAAATTTCATAACTTTTTCAACTTTTTAATTTCACATCCACTCTTTGCACAACGAAGATACTCGTACCCGCGCATTCATGCACTGGCAATTTAGGCTCCGCCCCTTGGCCACGCCCACTTGCTTTTTGCGGAATTTTGATATTTTTTTCAAAATTTTTGCATTTTTGGACTGCTCCTACAGACTTTGCCTGATCTAGCTGTTTTTGCT